TGTTGAATCAGCTCATGGTTTCATCCCCTCATACACTGTACAGTCATAGATCTAATATTGTTGTGAATCATTTAGCATTTGTTGATGATGTTATTATCTTTGCCAAAGCAACCAAACCAGCTGTTAATATGGTCCTTCAATGTCTGGAGAAATTTCAACAATGTTCTGGTATGCATTTCCATACTAAGAAATGTCTTTTGGTGTTTAGCAAAATAGTTAAACCTCAAATTAAGCATTGGACTACTGAACTTAGTGGCTTCAAGACCAGCTCTTTGCCATTAAAATACCTAGGTACTTTGCTTGTGAAGGGGAAAATAAGACAAGTTCAATTTGATGACTGTATCACCAAAATTCAGGACAAACTAAACTGCTTGGCAAATTCATTCCTTTCGAATGGGGGTAGAGTTAGTCTTCTAAAAAGTGTATTGACAGCTCTTCCATCCTATATCTCCCAGGTTTCTGTTATGAAAAAGTCAACACAGTTAACTTTGGAGAAAATGTTTAATAGATTTTTGTGGGCAGGTTAGAGGAAGCAAATGCATTGGACCAGTAGGCAAAAGCTCTGTGGAAGTACTAGTGCTGGTGGGCTGGGATTCAAAAGCCGCATTCAGATCTCTCAAATCAATTTTTTTAAGCTTTGGTTGATTTTCAGAGCCCAGAGTTCTCTTTGGGCTAAATTTTTGAAGGGAAAATACTGTAGAGAGTTGCATCTCTCCCTTGTTACTAAAATACTTGGGGATTCCAGGGCCTGGACCAATATGCTAAAAGTCAGAGCTCAGGCTGAAAATCTTTTTATCTGAAAAATTGGTGAGGGTAAGCTTAATATCTGGCTGGATAATTGGACTGGTGAGGGCTTAATCAACACTTCATCTAACCCTCCATTAAATCCTACAACTCAGGTGGCTGATCTATGGCTCAATGGGGAGTGGAACCAGCAAGCTTTACAGAATATACTGGATAATACAACTTTACAGAAGGTTTTGAAAAGCAACGTTGATAGAGATAGTAAAGATATCCTGATTGTGAAAAAGAAGGTGTCCCAGTCTTTATCTGCAGCCATTGATAACTTGTGTTTTCCTCAACACAGAGTCAGCTAGAGTAAAT